TAAAGTCAATATGTTAAGTTTTTTAATATTATATAATTTTGTTGATGTATGAAAGCCTAAAGCTTTCCAGGTTCGGTAAAGGCTACCGGTTTCATTGATGTATGGAAGCCTAAGGCTTCCTAGGTTCAACCAGTATTTATTATGGCCAAATGGCTTTGTTTTTGTTCATATGAGAATATCCCTAACTTGATTGAAAGTACACTTAGTTTTTTTATGAAATAAGGGGAATTAGTTTAAAAAAGGAAAATGGCTTAGGTCTTGGGCTAATTTTTGATTTGTAGAGTTTTATTTATTCTGTTATTATTGTTTAAAAAGGGGGAGGATGTTTTAAAACAGAGAAGCATTAAGGTTTTATTTTTTCTTTTTAAAGGAAAAATAAATTTTTTACTACATGGAAGCATATTTCGAAAAGAATAAAAACCTGTATCATGATCATGCTTATTTTGATTATAAATATAATAAGCAAAAATAAATAAATAAAATTTAGGTTATATGAATGTTTAAATATCCTTTTGCATAATTATCATTATTTTTTTTTATTATTGTAATCATGCTTAATTTGATTTATGTTAGATTTTGATTGTTTAATATATTTATGCAAGAATTAACCTTTTAATTGACATGCTATATTGTCTTTGATTATATTCATATATTTTCATTATTATTTATATTTTAAGATATCCTAAATATATAATATTATAAAAATAATAAGAAATAAAAAATCTTAAAATCCATGCTTAAATGTTGGAGGAATTAAAAATCGTATTTTAAAAATAAAAAATAATTTTACCTAGTTGTTGAAAAATTAAATCTTAGTAAAACAAATTTGATTTTAAAAAAACTTAGAATATTAAGTATATAAAATTAAAAATAAGGAATTTATAAATAATAACAAAGGTATAAATAAGAAGAATAAAATTTTATTAAAAATAAAATATATAAAATATAAAAATTTAACTTTTTTAAAAAAATTATCAAAAACGAGCTTACTTCGAAAGTTTACCTAAATGTTGGAGATTTATAAAAAAGTTCGTAAATTTTTAAAGCCTTGAAATAAAATCCCAAAATAAAACCCTAAAATAAAACCATAAACTAAACCCTAGAGTAAAATCTTAAATGAAATCCTAAAATCAAACCTTAAAATGAAACTTTAAAACCCTATATGAAACCCTAAAATAAAACCTTAAACCCTTAGATGAAACCCTAAAATAAAACTTTAAATCCTTAGATGAAACCCTAAATCTTAGGTGAAACCCTAAACTTTCAGTGAAGTCCAAAATCTTAATCCACTAAAAACCCCCGAGACTATCTCAAAATTTAAGGATTTATGTGAATACTTTTTGTAAAATAATTTGCTATTAAGTGTTGTCTAAATGATAGAGTATTTAAAAATATTATTTTACTAAAAATTTTTATATAATTTTGAATTTTAAAATAATAAAATTAAATAAATAATAAAGAATGAAAAATGAAAAAAAAAGATTATTAATATAAAAGATCGTACCCAAACTCTATTTAAAGGTTAGAGAGTTCAGGTGATTTTTTTTATATTTAAAGACCCAATCTTAAATTTAAATCTCTTTGTCATTTAAGAAACATTTATATATTTATTTTTTTACACTCATTATGCATATACATGTGTTTTAATTATTGTTGTTTATGGTTTATTATAGCCTTTTCCATTGTTATTACATTAAAAGCTTCCTTTAAAAAATTGATTTAAAAAAATTAATAAATAAATTAAATTTAAGATAATATTTTAGAATATATAATTTTTGGTATTCTGCCTAGATATTGAAGAGTCACAAATAATTATCTTTTTCAAAGAATATTATTTTCAAAGAAATGTGGTGGTAAATCTTAAATGGAAAGGATTATCTTTGAATTTGCCTTTATGTAAGAGAGTTTTAAAATATTTCTTTAATTTAAAAATTTTTACAACATTTCTAAATAAAGAATTTTAAAGAATTTTATTTATTAAAAACGAAGAGCATTATAATTAAATTTCATATAAAAATTATTTTTGTTTAAAGTTATAAACAGCGCATGATTAATTAGCACTGATTTTATGAGAATTGTAGGGGGTACTAATCTTTCTTCATGCGTAACTGACTCTCAAAATCAATCCTATTTTCTTAGACCAAAATTATCTTTTTAATAAACTTTAAATCTATTTTATTGTTTTATTAAAAAGCTAAAATTTTTGGGTAGCCAATCATACCTTAAAAAAAATTAGTGACAACTTCCTATGTTTTTACGATTTTGAATGATTACATTTAATGATTGAGTCTTCGAACCAATACGTAATGATAATGTTTTGTTTGTGAAAAACTAAATAGTAGTTCTTTTCTAACAATTGTCCTACATTTAATAGGTTTTGATATATTTTAGGCATATATATCACATCTTAAATAAGTTTGGTACCTATTAGTGTCTCGACAATCGCTAATCATTTTTCTTTAACTTTTATGAAATCATCATTACCTATTCTGACTTTAAAGGTGTAGGTCTTGTCTAACTCTTTGAACATGTTGATGTTAGATGCCATATGGTATGTGCATCCATTGTCAATAAGCCATACACTATAGGCGATTTTGGTTGCATAACAAGTTGCAACAAAAACTTGTTCTTTTTGTTGGTGTTGATTGTCAACAACTCTAGCCTATTGATCTTGCTGTTGTTTTTTGTTTTTGCACACCTTTTCCATGTGATCAAGCTGTTTATAGGACCTACATTGTATGTCAGGTTTATACTAGCGATATTTTTCCAAGTGAGTATTCTTTTTACATTGAAAATAAGGTGGAAACTTGCCTTTCTTCCCATTGCTTCTAGAATTTTTATTTCTTCTGTCTCCATGCTTCTTGCCTTTGCCATCCATTTACAGTTTGCTCTTCTTTTTAGTTGCAAATACACATTCAATTATGTTTTTTTGTTTGATAGCCCTCTATTACTTTTATGCTTAGAAGGGATTGAACAGCTCAGCTGGGGTGATCTTGGTCATGTCTTTGGAGTTTTCAAAGAATGAGATTTTTTGTTCAAATCTCTTTGGTAGGTTAACATGAACCTTTTCTATGATTTTTTTGTTTGGCATTTCTTCCCAAAGTAATTTAATTTTGTTCACAATCTTCATGAGTCTATCATTGTACTCTTTTAAGTTTTCTGATTCATCCATCTTTAAGACTTTAAACTCTCTTCTAAAATTCAACATTTGCATTTGTCTTGTCTTGTCTGACTAGAAAGTCATTCAAAACTTGATCGAAGAACCAGCGTTTATTGAAGAAGCTATAGAGTCGATTACAAAAAGTACTAGTTTGAAAGGCTCGTTGGAATTGATCCGCTACGGGATTTACATTATACGCAACAGAAGCACCTAAAGTACTAAACGGAATAGGTATTAGTTTGGTAATGGTTGGAGCAGCAAACTCGGATTCGGCAAGAATCTCATTTTTTGGTAGTACGAAGGGGGAATTGGCCCAAAAATGGGATAGGGGTCAAGACGCAGTCGGGCATCGATAGCTGACTTAAGTGCCCCCTAAACAAAAAAAAAAAAAAAAGACTTTCATTTAGTAAAACTTAACACTCTTATGGATATCACTGGAAGACTTGCAACCATTCAACAAAAAAGATAGCAACTAAAAAACGAAAAGCTTCAACATGAGCAATTACTCGATTTGTTCTGGAAGCATCTGCTTACTCTCTATCTAGAGGTTGTAGGATGAATGATGCAATTAATCTAGGACCACATTCACAATCTGGAAGACAAGATGAGGACCTTACTTAACAAAGAGAAAGAGCTTATTGTGCAGGCTATCACCCTTGATGAGTGAGGAAACTAAAAGAGTTTGTCAACTCTTTTTAGTTTTAGAAGGTTTAAATTAAATAAGTGTCTGTAGACATTTGTTTTCATGCCTGGTGTTCTTTGTCTTTTTTTAGTGGGGCATATTCCAAGCTTGTTTTGCAGTATCACAAGTCATGATTCTAATAAATATGTCATCAAAAACTGATGACTTAATAAAGCTTTTAGCCTTGTACTTTTTTTTATTATAATTTTTTATTTAAGTTATTATTAGATTTGTAGGAAGTTATGGTGGCTTCTTCTCATTTTTCATCACTTTTCACAAATCAAAAACACTCAAATAAGACTTCATTTTGATAGCCTATATCTAGTAGTTCTTACTAGAAAAAATAAGAAGTAAAGGTAAGGAGCAGCTGCTTGAGACCATTTAAGGTTGACAAAAGCTGATTGATAAGTGTTTGATAGCTTTTCACTCAATTTTAGTACCTTACAGGCCTTCTAAGACCTTATAGAAACTTTGATACCAATTAAAGGTTATAGAGCAGAGGAAAAATAAAAGACAAATTAAGAAACTAATTTGGTATTGTAGTAAATTGCCTCACATAGAACATGAGCTTCATTTCATTAATTTAGAAGTTTCAAAATACAAAAATTTGTTTAACTACTATAAAAGTTGTCTATCATACAATATGGATGACCATACATAAATCCATCATGCTACCTAAACTAATAAAAATAATTATAAAAATGGCAAATAAGTTGCACAAGTTACAAAAAAAATGCCATACTTACTTGCTTCAACTATGTTCTTCTCCATTTCTAGAACCTCTACACTAGAGAATAAAGCCTTCTAAGTAGAAAGTATGAGAAAATTTCTCGAGTACGGCTGTGTCAGTTCATCTTGTAACCTAAAACTTCTTTTCTGACTGTCAACAACTATTAACTGACTATCAAAAAGGACTAGAAAAGAAGCTACTTGCAATTACAAGTAGGATACATAGCTTAAATTAAAAATGAATTGAAATTTAATAAAGATAGGCTATTTTGGTAACTGATGAGCATCTGGATCAGTCAATGGAAAATATTTAATTATTGATGATATATATATATAATAGACATGTTGCCAATCCTAAACGTTTTTTTTTCAAAAATGGACAATCTATTAAAACAAAAATGTACAATACTTTAATATAGCATTGATCAAGACTAAATAACAAACATTCAAAGATATGAACATGATCCAATCCTTCTCCTATGACAATATACTCTAGATACTCTTCCTTGGAACTTGGAGTTGGGGGCCTTCTAATCTTATGTAATCATACATAATCCCTGGAAAAGGACCACTGCTTTGAGGTTGCGTCAGAAAAATAGTGTTGTCCCCTTGAACAAGCAGTTTTCCTGGTATATCTACATTGTACAGCCAGTAGAGTCCATGAATTCCATGCCTTGCAATTGAGTTGTCCTGCCCAAATGGTCCACTTGAAAATAAAGGATTTGCCTTTGGATCATTAACATGGACCTGTAGACCAACAAATCCATTAGCACTAGGGTGAATTTGCATGCTGAATATACAGGTTAGAGTTTGGCAGGAAGACTCTTTCCATGGTATTTGGTATCAAATTGAAAATTTGATAGTTATAATATACCTGCAACTCGGATAAATTTGCAGATGCAATCGCCACTCTTAATTGATATGAATTACTGTGGTCTACATTGTCAAGTTTGAATTTAATTTGCCATGTGGTTCCTTGATACTTGTTATCATCGATCTTCCTGCAGTGCAAGATATATGTTAACTAAGATATGAAAGTTTGACACCTAGAATGGAACTCCTGTATCAGCCAAAAACTAACAAATCGTTGGAACGGAAAAGAGCAAAATTATAAATGAATGTTTCAAAATGAAAATGATAAACGAAGTTGCAATGATATTGAAAGAATCTTGCCTGGTTAGATGAGCAAAAAACCAGTCATTTTTATAGTCACTATTGCCAACTGTATAAGCTACATCTCCATCAGGATACATTTCCGCATATCTTTCCCATAGTCCATACTGTCTAAACCTGCCAGAAGAAGGGAGTATATTTGCTCAAATTTTGTATTGAATTTATTAACCTCCCACGTTATGGGAAAGCATTTATGAATTGCAGATTGAGCTGCTACAATGATTTTATGCAAAATTGAGAATACAACAGCAGAAAACAATCATGCAGAGATTATTTCAAAACTATCATAAATGAATATTGAAATACTAATTGATTGTGGAATGGCATTTGCAATTGCATAGAATCCCTGGATTTAATTATTGGAAGCTACATCCCCAATTAGGAGAAACAATGAAGACTAACCTATCAGGATGGTTGACATAAAGTTTGTTGATGTACTTTGGATTAGGATCCGGGACATAAAATTCTGTAGCAGAACGATCAGGAATACCTATTTCCCACAGTGTTGGTCCATTTCGTGGAGGTTCATAAATGAGATCACCGACCTCAATATCACTACCTGTATTACATTATACCAATATGGCAACTTTAAAACGCTTCTAATACCTGCAAAATTTAAAGAACTTGAACAATAATTTGTACAAATTTCAAGTACCTGGAGTTATAGTAATGGCACCATCGGATCTATAGTCTCCAATAAAACCAGGAACCCATGCGTAAAGGTTATAATCACCGGTTCGAATGTCATTGATAGAAAAATAACCATTTTCGTCTGTCTTGGACCAAAATTGGTAGTCCTATTAGGAAAATAGCAGGCGGATTATTATATATAAGTGTTTCTTGAATCTAACTTTACATATATATAGAAATTTTATTCTCACTCTTGTAATTCCATCAAATCTTATTGTAATGGAGAGGCATCCATTTTATATATAATACAAGATGGGTTTTGTGGAGACCTGCATACTCAAAAATCTTACAATTTTATCCCACAAAAACACTTTACAAATATAGATTCAAGTCTATATATATATCATAACAAATACTTTGGATTGGGTATGACAGGCTTGATTAGTTACATGCGCAAATGGTAGTCTAATGGAGGGTTAAGAAAATCACCTTGCATTCTCTTTGCCACGACCCAGCGTTTCCTGGTGGAGCCAATCCTATGTAAGCTCCATTGGCTGGTATGTTGTCATCACTAACATACCTAGACAATAAAATCCCCAAAACTGAGAACACGATTTAATCAATTGGCTGTGTTTGCTAAGCTACATGACATAAAGAGAAATTAAATGCCTTGGATAAACAAAATTTTCTTTCATTTTCAGTTTTCACCATTTTATTTTACAACTTAGCCTAGCCCCATAGGAAGCGCCAACAATGGCAAATAACCATTATCATCTTGTTGAGTCCTGTTAATTTTCGAAATATATGGCTTTACCTGTCGTTGACTAGAAGCCTACCGCTGACATTACCCCTTTGTTCCGATTTGGGAAAATCCTCTGAAGCTGGGAAAGTGTAAGGCCAGCTCTGGACTTCGGCAATCATCTGAATGCCATTAAGTTATTATTGATAATCACATTTAGACATAGTAATCGTAAAATTTATAATCCAAACAATTGCAGCCTTTCCTGCTCGCCCCAAAACTAAACCTGTTCTTTAGCATCTTCCCAAAGCGAAAGCGGGTCATCTCCTTCAATTGCAGAGTTAAGATAGATAAAAACAGGGCCAAAGACTTTCTTCCACATCTCACCAGCACTGAATTTGGGCACCAGATCTTCTCCAGAATAATGAGCACTGAGAAACACCTGATCATACCATTTTCATCGTGACCAAATTGAATTCGTCATATTCAGATTTAGTTATCCCATTAAGGGGGCTTCAGGCTTGTAAAACAAAAAAGCTGTATCAAAAGAGCCCAGGGTCTTACAGCAAGGGTTGTTGGGCCGACATGAGAGGTTAAGTTCTGTTTGACGGGTCCACCGGAACGGAACTCATTGCTTGGTGTGATCATCCAGAATCCTACCGCTGGTTGGTCTGTGCATATCCAGCCATGGACGTGGCTGTCTTTGTTATCACATGAATATTGGTACTTGTCATCCACCTAACTCACATTGGAGAATTTTTTTTTTTAAGTCAAATTTTCAGTTACTACTATATAATTGATTTATTCAACAAATTAAAGAGAGAATTAATGTTTATTTATTCACTGAAATTGGTTACCTCTCCTTTCATCTCAGGCTCAACGGGGTCAACCAGGAGGACCGCTTCTGGATAAGCCAGGGCTTGACCTCTTTCTGGCAACCTGTCATCGGGCAAAGGCATGTATCTTTGCCTATTGTCCGCCATGGCCATGTAGTGAAATCTGTTCAGATGATTTAGATGTCTAAATATTCTTTCCCTTAAAGTCGAAACTTCTTCTTTGAGGATTGAGAGTAGTTAAATTTCAATATCTTTATGCTTCCTACTAGTCACTAAATTGAAAAAAAGAAAAAAAAAAAGTAGTTAAGTTAATTTTTGTACTTGTCTTTTCTGAGCTTGAATGCGATTCTGGTTTCATCAAGGTTAAAACCAGGCCAATCTTTCAAGTGCTCATAAATGGCATAAGAATAAAAGCCTGAGCAACCACGCAGCATAATGAACCTGAAAAAGTATGAACATATATGATTCATATATATATATAAAAAAAAGGTCCATGAGAAAATATTGCAGGTTAAAGGTTGAAGGCTATAATTAGGACCTTTTGTCTATATTTAAGGGAACAAGCTTTCCCTCTTGGGAGGTATCCCACATTCTTGTGAAAGAAACCTCAACTAGATCATCGTTTTCCACTATAACATTAAAACTTGTTCCCTTAATCCTGCGCAGAAATCAGTTTAAGAAATCAGTTTTTGATTTGAAACTACAATTAAAGATGTTCCCGAATCTGCAAAACAAGTTGTGTTTTTGAATAAAAACCCAGGTTTCAAATTTACAGGTGGAAAAAGGTTATTCATAAACTAAAATTAAAAAAGATCTTACACGTCAAATGTGCCAGTAGTTCCAGCACTTCCTGGAGAGTTCCAAACAAGGTCCCAGTACCTGGTATTACATTTGAAAATACAGGGACAATGCTTTAAATCACTGCAAGAATCAAGACCAAAATGAAGCGAAGCAAGAAAATGACAATTTAAGCCCGAAGCAATGGACTTATACCCTCTATTAGATTCTTCATTTAGAACTTCTAGTAAATTGTCGATGTTATTATACTGAATGCCAGTCACAATTCCTTCAGGGTTCGATAATGTCAATTGGAGTATGCCATTGTCTATCACCACCTGCAAACATATTGCATGAAGATGAAGTTAATTACTGTTGTAACTCCAAAGGAAACTATATGTCTGAGCTCATTCATGTTATGGTTTTCATATTGCAAAGAAGAAAAAGAAAAGGCAAATACATGAGTATCTTGAATCTGGAGTTGAACCCCAATACGCGACATGGTTTTGAAGATTTAATTTTTTTTTTGGCTGCAGGCTAGCTTTTGACGTCAGTGGACCATGAAGATTTTGAGAATCCTCGGCAATCTGGGGCAGACAATTTATTATTACTTGTTAGGAGTTTTTAACTCTTAAAAGATTCGTAAAAATGTTTTCGGGTTACTTTCCTTGAACTGGAAGGTAAAGCATTCTTTCTGTCAATTCTTTTATCTTCAACAATCTCTTAACTTGGTCGCCACCGCAATTTGGTGCCATTAGATCAAAGCGTGCAAGAGTCGCTAAGTGGAGCAGCCAATTTCAACATGAATTAGTGGCCCAAAGAAAAAAAATTCAACATGCATCATAAATATGTCGTGGGATCCATTTTTGGATGTTTAATGTTAACAGTATAATTTAATTATAGAAGCATTATCTTAAGATTAAGCCTGATAAGAGCATTGCTCTTGAAAATTAACACTGATTTTCGTCCTCTATGAATAGTAATATCCCGAGGATAATAGTTTAGAGAGCAAGCATGGCTACTACAACAGCATTTTACTTTCAAATAAAAAGATATATTGTGCTACAGGATCCAGCCCGTCATGACCGAGTCCAAATTCGACTGTAACAGGCCGTGCTATCCAGGAGTTTGTAGCCTGATAATAGGCACGAAATGGCCCATGAAGGGCCTCTGCTGACATGTGGCATGTGGACTACGGGTCCACAGTCAGTGCAGGAATTGCACGACATGCCTGCTGATAAATTTAAAATATAATACGATAATAAAATAAAATATAAAAATAATATAAATAATAATTATATATAAATTTAATAAAATTAAAAAAAATATTTTTATATTTCATATAAATATAAATTATGTTATAAAGTTTTTATATAAAATATAATATAAATATATAAATTTTAATATTTTATATGATAAATATAAAAATAACAAATCTACTGATAAACGGGTTAATAAGGCATCGGCACAACCCATTTAGAGACATTACGGGCCAGCTAACTAGATACGACCCAACAGTTCTATCATTTGTTTTTCTTTTTCCCTCATTTTGCTTTAGAAACTCATTTTCCCATAAAATATACAAATTCCATTCGAGAGTCATAAAAAAAGAGTTTATGGAAGTGTTTTCTGTTTACAAATCAAACTCTTATAAAGAGCTCCATAGGTTTTTTTTTTTTTTTTTTTAATATTAAAAATTAAAGATGGCTTCATTTATCCACGTGGATTAATTCAACTGGAAAAAAATAAATATTTTTTTATCAATTAGAATTTGATTCGTGTAAAAAAAATTAAAAATAAAATTTTAAATATATAAAATCAATGTGAGAGAGTGCCATTAAAATCACCTGAAGTGTGGGAAAGTGGCAAAGTGCATTTTAAAATCACATGAAGAGATTAGATACAAAAATCTGAAACACTTCTATCCTACTACAAAAAAATGGGTTAGTGCTAGCATGGCACAACATAGATATGCTCATGTTAAAATGTTCTTAAAGTACATATGATTATACCTATCATTAGAGAAAACAAATGGTGCATGAATTATATTAGTTCATAATTGTTCATGCAATTGACTATTTGGTAGGGCTCGTTTCTAAATTGCACTAAGATACGTTATTGAAGTTAGAGCCAAAAATATACATTTAATGCTAAAGAAATCCAGGAAATAAACCAATCTCGCCAGAAACGTCACCACCTGCCGATATGCTGATAAAAGGAAATATACTTTTACATAAAACACGTGCATTGTTAAATGCATAAAATTTTTTGGCTATGGATATTAATTTCTTGCTACTGATCATTGAAAAATGAACAGAAACTGCAACATGTAGTAATTCTGATTAATACCTTTCCAGTTAACATGAAGTTGGGGGGCCTTCGAGACGGATGTAGTCATACATGAATCCTTGGAAAGGGCCATTGCATCTTGGTTGTTTCAAGAAGATGATGTTATCCCCTTTAACAAGCCGACTACATGGTATGTCCACAGTGTACAGCATGTAGATCCCATGAATTCCATGTCTTGCTATGGCATTGTCCCTCCCTATCAGTCCAGTTGTAAATAGAGGGCGATTTGTATTTGGATCGTTAACCCGAACCTAGAGGGGTAGAAAAAAATTAGCGTCTTCATAATTGAACTAAACGAACAAAGATTTTCATTACCCATCAACAATGTACTGCAGTTCTTTACCTGCAATTCGGCTAGAGTAGCAGATGCAAGTGCAACTCGCAATTTGTAGATACCACTCTGATCCACATTATCGAGTTTGAACTTGATTTGCCATGTAGTTCCTTGATATGTGTTATCACCTATCTTCCTGAAATTTTTTCAATTATTATTCTATAATATTTAGAAAATGACGGGTGATATCAAACAAAAACCAATGTTAAAAGCTGTACCTGACAACCTGTGCAAAGAACCAATCTCTCCTGTAGTCACTAACGCCAATGGTGTAAACCAAGTCTCCATCAGGATATAATTCAGTATATCTCTCCCACAAACCGTACTGCCTAAACCTGCCAATGGAGGAAAATGACAACTAAGAACACATTGGGGAAGGAGTTTGCATAGTTGTAAATTCTTGGACAGTGCACATCAAATAGGTAAAAGTAGAGAGAGGATCTCAATAAGATAAGGCTCCATGCAGGAGAGTTTTCTTTCCAAGTCTGGTGTGATCATAACAGCTGCATGATCATATGAAAAATAATTCTTAAAAAACTAATGGAACATAAGTTTTCAAGCCTTTGAAAGGATGAAGTTAAAGAAACCGGTCCTGCTCACCCAAGAAACTCAAGTTCATCAGATAGCAAACTCCTTAAGATTCCAAAAGAGGGCAGCTAACCTGTCAGGATGATTGACAAAAAGTCTATTGATATACTTTGGATCAGGATCAGGAACATAGAACTCTGCAGCTGAGCGGTCAGGGATGCCTATTTCCCACACTGTGGGTCCATCTCTTGGAGGTACGTATATAACATCACCCATTTCAATGTTACAACCTGTACTATGTATTGCATAAAGCATATCACAATTGTGATGCTAGCCTACCAATGAGTACATCAAAGTATGACAAACAATTACCTGAGATTATGGTAATGACAAATTCGTGTCGATAATCTCCAATGAACCCAGGAACCCATGCATAAAGATTATAGTGACCAGGGCGTATATTTCTAATGGAGAAAAAGCCATTCTCATCTGCTTTGGTCCAGAATTGGTAGTTCTAATCAGAAGTATAATAGTAAAAATCACAATCTTGAAGAGTTTGATTGATTGTGTTGCTAACATTATCAAGACAAATTACAAGCATAAAGCTTATATGTCAAAAGAAAAGGAGTAAAGGACAATGCTTTTGCATGCTTTGTAGAATTATAATATGAGTTCAAACAAACTTACCTTGCTTTCCATTTGCCATGATCCTGCATTTCCCGGAGGAGCCAAGCCAACATATGCACCACTTGCTATTATGTAGTCAATGCTGATATACCTAGACAGAGTAATAACCAGAAAAAAAAAAAAAAGTTAATTACATCTACTGATTGAGCAAAATAAAGGATAAAAGTAGAACAGGAACCAATATTTCATTTTGATGGTTCAACAAACATGAGTGGATAAAACAAAAGCGAAACTCTTAAACAGATAGACATTTTAGCTATTTTCCTAATTCACAGACATAAAATGCAGTAACAGAACCACAATGTTATAGCGATTCTTTTTGTATTAAATAACATTTTTGCTATTCTTGCGTAGCAACCAATACTATTGCAGTTACTCTTGTTATTAAAATGACTGCTATGGATAATCTTGTCACTATTCTGGTAAGTGACATCTATGAGCACTGAACAGGGATATACTAAAAGCGCTTCTATTAAAAGTTTGTCCATCATGTCTCCCACATGTGCTCATTGAAGATGTATTGCATGCATACCTATCTTGGACTAATATTCTCCCATTAACATTACCCCGTTGTTCTGACTTTGGGAAATCCTCTGAAGCAGGGAAACTGTATGGCCAGCTTTGAACTTCAACCATCATCTGCAGATCAATTATCCAATTATTTTCTCCGCGGAATGTCACTACAAAAGTACAAATCATTTGAGTCTGTTTCACAGAAAATGTATATGGAGTTTCCAATATCAAACCTTGATTTTGGCATCCTCCCACAGCCAAAGTGGGTCATCTCCATAGGCTGCGGAATTGAGATATATAAAAACAGGGCCAAAAACTTTCTTCCACGGTTCCCCAGCTTCAAATCGTGGAACCATGTGTTTTCCAGCATAATGTGAACTAAGAAATATCTGCAGATACCATTTTGGTTGACAGTTAATGTAACTTAAGTTTATGATCATAGCATTGAATACCAGATTACCAAGATAAAAACAAGGTGATGTCAAAGTTTTTTATTAATACTCTTGTCCAAGATGAGGAACTTACAGCCAGAGTGGTGGGTCCTACATGTGAGGTTAGGTTCTGTTTAAGGGGTCCACCAGATCTGAACTCATCACTAGGTGTGATTTGCCAGAACCCCACAGGTGGATCAAAACAGATCCAACCATGGACCCGAAGATCTTTGTTCTCACATGAATACTGGTACTTGTCGTCCACCTGCAAATCAAGAAGTCATATTAAACATGCATTCCTGTGAGCAAACCCATATGGCAAAAGCATTCCTAATACGAAGCTAGGGCTGGAAATTTTGATTTAATAAGGACTAGCAACATTTAAACTTTGCCATGTTGGCATAAACAAAGTTTGGGATCTGCTCAACAATCTAATTGAAGTGTTTACTGCAGATATGGCCTAGACAAAGCACAACGAAGAGATGAGCATGTAAAAACTACCTCTCCTGTTAGCCTCTGATCCATGGGATTGACAAATAGGACTGCTTCTGGATAAGCCAAAGGTTGGCATCTTCCATTTGATCGGTCATCAGGGAAGGGCATGTATCTTTGCCTGTTATCTGCTATTGCCATGTATTGAAACCTATGATAAATTCAAAAGTCCACACAATGAACCAATTTTTCAAGTACTTGACTTGAAGCCACACATAGGTGGCTAAAAGACTCTACTTATGTTTAAACCAACTTGATGTTCCATACTGCTGTTCGGTCCATTTCATAACCTATCTACGATTACTGTCTTGCATCAGTGGGCCTAAAAAATGACTGGAAGCTACCTTTAACAAGCTGTAAACACATAATTCTTAAAAAGAAAAATTATAGTTGACTCAATTAATTGATACAAAATAAATTTACAAGAACTAAGTTTTGTCTATAATTGAATCAAACCCTGGATAGACAGGGATAAAAAGGATACTTTCTTACAATTGCATTTCTGGACAAAGAAAAAAGTTTTTAAATTTTCACTTGAAATTGTTTGTTCTTTTTTAAAAAAAATTCATTACTGAACTATAAGCAGTCTATTTGTTAAAAGGAAGAACACGCTATGAATTTGTTACTTGTCTTTTCTGAGCTTGAAAGTAATTCTGGTCTCTCCAAGCTCAAAACCAGGCCATTCCTTGAAATGCTCGTAGATGGCATAGGAGTAAAAGCCAGATGAACCGCGAAGCATTATAAACCTGGAGAAAGATAGTCATGATTAAAAATTCTGTGGCTGAAAACCTCAGTAACAAACATATGTCTGGTTTAAGCGAGGACCTTTTATCGATATTTAGAGGAATGTACTTGCCCTCGAGGGAGGGATCCCAAGTTCTTGTGAACGAGAGCTCAACTTGTTCCTCAGTTTCCACTATAACTCTAAAACTTGTTCCTTGAATCCTGCACAGCAATAACTCTTGCTTCAGACTTCAGCTAACCACAATAGTAATTAATTTTATGGTTAACAAATCAAGTATAATCAAAAGCAGAAACAGTTTTATCTAATCCTAATGAAAAGATCTAAAGTAAAAAACTAGGAAAAAATTGGTAGTAAACTTTTTAAGCAAAGAAGAAAAAGTTATGTGAGAGGAAACCACAGGCCAACAATAGTGACAAAACTCTAGATATATAGAAAGAAAATGCTGTTCTGCGGAGCATGTCGCTAGCATGAACATGAACTAGCTTAAATGGTCAAAACGTTTGTATATTTTAAGAATCCTTGAATCAACAAATGCAAGATCAACCAAGTTTCTCTATAAAATATATCTAAATGCTATTACAATGTAGTTCCTATCCATCTTGCATTGACAAACAAATATTTAGAAAACCTATTTGGGCACTCCATATAGTAAGAAAGACATTTCTTGTATTCAAATCTGTCCCAATGGAATTAAGTTGAATTGTTATCTTGTGGTTGTCATATATGCAGACAAGAGGATAATGTACATACACATCAAATATTCCCTTGCCTCCTATTTCATTCCAATACAAGTCCCAGTACCTACAAGTAGAAAAATACAGTCAAAGGGAGATTAGGTAAAGCTCAGGTTTGCTGTATGATTTGATTAAACGAAAAGAAAATTCATATGTATATATATATATATATACATACATACATACATACATATATATAAGGGACTATAAGAAAATTTGTCTGCGATACTTTTTCTAAGACACCTAGAAATGTTCTTTGCCTTAATCTACATGGTCTAACTCACTGTCTTGATTTAATTAAAATAATTCTATGTTTAGAAATGCCTATTAATTGATTGTTTTGATTGCTATGCACTTTAGTTCCATGTTTACAGATCCTTAACCAGACAAGCAGAACTAGCCAGGAAAAAAAAAAAAGAATAATAGTGACGTAGCTGTAATACTACAAACCCTCTATTGGTTTCCTTGTTTCGAACTTCAAGCAAATTGTCGATGCCATCATACTGTATTCCAGTAACAATACCCCCTGGTCTCGATAATGTGACTTGAGCTATGCCATTATCCATCACCACCTGCACAAAGTATAATTCACAATCAACCCAAAATCCATTAACTGTAAATTTCCATGAGATGCCATGCCGTCCTGCATTCATGCATATCAAATTCCATCAATTTCTGGAATCCAATGAAAATTACAACAACAAAACCGACTTACATAATGGTCTTGAATATGCAATCGGACACCCTGATGCGGCATGGGAGCACAATTTGTATTCAGATTCATGTTCAACATATCTGAAAATACATAAGGATTAAGGAACACCTTTATGGTAGTGTTAAAATTTGTCGAAATACAGAAATTAATCAATAAAAAAGATTAGAAAAATTTGAGGCTTTGCTTTAGAGACAAAGGATCTCTTCTTAACCTAGGATACACATGTAAGATGCCTAAAGCAAGCATATCATAAATAATATTGTGAAAAATGTCTAAAAATAAATGTAAACTTTGAATATAGGATCTTGATCAATGATCATGACTTGGTTTTACTACTTCTAAATCAATAATTTACTATTGCCACGTCCCTCAATTGAAGATGGCTTCAATCAAACCCTTATCATTTCAAATTTCAAAAATAGATAAAAATCTCCAGTCACAATAAAATTAAAAGCGGCAATTTTAAATTTTGAATTACCTTGCCTTGCATTCCCTTTGCGTTTGTTACAACCGCCACAGTCACTGAAACAATCTATGATCCTCTGTAGTGTGCTTGTCATGGACGATCAGTCTGTCACCGAATCAGGCGGTTGTAAGGTCATCGTACGAGAGAGAAACGTCGTTGATGGTAGTGATCAGTTGATCGGAGATGCTTTCGGTGTAGAAGCGGCCGTAGGCTATTTGAGAACTAGCGGTTGTTATGGCGGTTGATCTTCGCTGACGGTTACAGTTAAGGTTTTAACCGTTGAGAGAGCGTGCTTGATTAACAAATAAATAAATAAGTAAATAAAAAGTAATACATCGGCTTTCCAATATGGGTTCAGTTATAAAGCCGTCGCCACTTGTCACAATGGAAATCGAAATTCAGAAGTTGGGAATGTCGGACGGATCCTTTAGAATCGGAAGGGTCATGCTTCAGGGTCATGCCAATCAGGGCACAAGGTGGCACAAGGTTCACATGTCAGCCATATGACATCCATATTAGATAGCTGAACAATGGTTAATACTGTAGCAGAAGGTGAAACTCTTAATTTTAATAATAAAATATATTAATAAAATATTAAACTGTCAATTTCTATTAATGGAACAAAACCTGATAACTTCATACACCAAAGAAAAAATCATTAAAACTAAAAAAAAAGAAATTTTTTTCAGAATATTTACGTTGCATTTAGCATTATTAGTGTTGCTGTTGTTATAATTTGGAACAAAATGCAATAGTTTCATCTCTCATGTATATAAATTTTATAAGGCAAGAAACAAGTATCAAGATGGGACTCAGTATATTATCACAATCTGAACGAGTTTGATACAGCAAAAATAGTACATGCTCTAGGATAGTTTAAGATACAGAAATGGAATATGTAGCTCTCAAGCTGATTTAGATAAGCCCAGTGTGTATCCTCTACTCTGCTAATGCACCTGACTGGTCTCTGTCTTCTTCTGGAAAAAAAGTGATCCTAATATAACAGCAATGCCGGTTATTGCAATGGTGAATAGAAGTCTCCGTGAAAATTCAGATGGCTGCCTTCTCTGAGCACCTTGATCCCTTTCAGCTGCCCTCACATCCCTAAAAGGTCCCAAATCCATTAATTACCCATTATAATTAGAGCAAGGCAGAAAAGAAAGACCCAAATTCTGACAGTTTTCAGATAACAAAGACGAATGTGTGGCATGTTAAAACAGAAAAACATCATTACAATCAATCTTAGGTGCACAGCATACTCAAGATCTTGGGCTTTATCTAGTGGCCTCTGCCGAAATAGAGGTAAGTTCCATAAATAACCAGGTGACACAAGGGCTGTGGTTCTCGTGATTGATGGAAGGAAGGGGAATAATCACATGGCTTATGAAACCATTGATTGCATATCAGGGCTAAAACTGTCTGTCAATATAAAATCACAAGCTAAGACTTTTAACCCAGCATGATTGTCCACATCGCACCATTAACTGAATTACCAAAAGAACTAGCTGTTGGCATGACAATTCATTACGGACTAAAATGGATACTTTTAACATAAATCCTCTTTGGTAACTAAAAGTTCTCATTTTCCAGACTGAAATTCGCAATGTGTACAAACTACAAAACATAGTTCATCAAGAATAAGCTTAAAAATGGAAAAAAAAATTGTGGAAAAGGAATAACTGATTAAATATCTATGCAAACGTAAATCATAGCATATGTACCTGGAAGATCCCACAATGTTTTCTGGAATACCAGTGCACCTACTTTCATGGTTATATCTTTCTCTCAGTCTAATGTATCTGTTACACAGATGACACAGCTCTGTTCGGTTCCCACATACTTCCTAAAATCATAAAGCAACAGCATTATTGTAACAATTTCACCTAACAAGTACCGTTGGAATCCCTTCATTTGAAAAATGATTCAGAATTAGTACCTGATGCTCTGCCAGATCAATAGCAGGCAATGGAAACTCACAAAACTCACAAGTAACAATCCTCTGGGGGCAATTTTCACCTTTATGGATAGCTAGAATTTCACGTTCCATTGTCTCACTGCACAGTGAACAGGCCACCTGCTCGCACAGATAGTGGGTCAATAGCATCACAAATGTTAACAAATATGTTATGTTAGATTTTACGGTAGATATGCAATTGCACATTACATACAGACACACAGGCATGATTGAATCAACCCACGATAACCTTAATTTCACTTTTAATAATATTTGCAAACCTTCATTGACAATAAACATTTATACTTACCTAACTCTCACAAAGTTGATAGATTGTTTCTACCTTATAGTTATAGCGTTAGAAAAAAGTCTTCCCTTCTTGACAAATTCAGGCATCCAAAACCACCCAAAAAAATAAAGAAAATTCGGGTTCAAAAGGGGGAAGGAAGGGCTGTGGGGATATCAAATAGAAATATCCATCAAGTTAAACAGGCTTTATCAATTAGGTTTGGCAGATAAACCACAAATCCTAGATGTTGGGATGGCAACATGGAGAATATGCCAGATGGGCAACTTAGTTATTCATCCCCACTCCTCCTTCAAAAAATTTTGTTTCAAAAGAAAAACCAAAACCTAAGAAAAATTCCAATGTTTGGTAAATTTGAATACTACAACCTATTGCTGTTTATTAAGCTGTTTCAAAGAGTCACACAATTTCATTGCTCAAGATCAAGTAGCATTCAAAAAGCCATCATAATGATGGAGAAAGGAAAAAAAAAAGGAAAAAAGCAAGATAAAAGAATTGATTCATTTGAAAAGAATCAGAAAAGACCTACCGGAGCATGGGTGTTTAAGAAATGTTCCTCAACATGCTTTTTTGGAACCATATCACCACAAACTTTACATTTTTGTAGATTACGGGAGCAATGAGCATAATGCAAATCGATATTTGAAGAAGGTATGGCCCTGTCACTGAACCATTAAGAAGGAAAAGTACTCGTTAAAAGTTATTCTGCCAGGGAATTTCCAAAATAATCACATATTTGAGATAAAGGACCTTCAACCTCATAAAACTGGATTAGCAAAAGATATCATTGCAATATTAAAAATTCATTAGCAATCTCTTCAAAACTTAAGGCATACATCAAAGCAAGATTCCACGACTCATATTTCACATTCCTAACTATGTAAGGAAAACATAAGAGCACACTATAATGTCACCAATAAAATTGCTTCATGATAAATAGGAGAAAGTAGAAGCCCCAAGCATTTTTTCAACATATGAGAAAGCTAAGCATACTTCCCAGCATCAAGTGGATTACAAAGTTATTGTTAAGAAAACTAACACAACCAAGAAAGAACTACCAAAAGAAAAACCAACATTCATGTTGAAATCTTCAAAATACCCGATAGTCGCAGCGAAATTTTCATAATTGGACAAAGACAAAGGCTGTGATCACATGAACTCAATGCAACCGTAAACACCAAACCAGAGGTAATTCAACTAAACGCACTCCCCTTCCAGCTTAATTTGGTCAATTTAAATTACTAATCGTTTCCTTATACATTAATCAATCTCCCACTACACAAATTCTAGGCAAATCAGGCAACACGAATTCCTCCACAACGCCAATTTTAAAATTTCAGAAAAAAAAAAAATACAACAAGCTTTTAAGCTCAAATAAACAAAATCTCAGCTGATAAAAGAATAAATAAACAACAGGGCTGGAAACGGAAAGACAAGAAAAAGATTGCGTCGAAAATTCAACGAATTAAAATTAATTCTAGAAAACGATCATAAAATTATATTAATAAATACCAGTGATTGCATATGCTGGTGGTTTCATCCGAAGCAATTGCCATAGCGATCCGTTCGAAATCTTTGGCCCACAAAAAATAATAACAAATCAATGAAAAATAATTAATTGAAGGGAGAATCAGATAAAGGGAAATTAAAATTAGTGATCAATATTAGTAAATTAACCTGCAAAAAGCCCTGGATATTCGTTAGAAACTCTCCTCTTTTCCTTTTTTTTTTTTTTTGAATAAAATAAAAGGAACTTCTAGCGAAGGCTGACTGAGAGAATTATTTTGATTACTGCTTTGGTCGAACGAACCGCTTTAGATGAGGACTTCGGGAGTTGGCACCACCCGTGGACTCCACCATTCAACTTTTTCACACACGCGCCTTCCAAGGGCGGCGAGTTGCACGATTATCTCCAATTTGGGTCCTTGGCATCCAAAGTTTGTGGGCTTAAATTTCATGATTGGGCCTTCAACACTAAGCCTTTCAAAAATAAATGTGAATTTTTTTTATAGAAGAATAATTATGTAATTTTCAATTTTGCAAATCTACTAAATTATCAACTCATTTCTTTTTCTTAAAATAAAAAATTTCATTATCAGTGTATAAAAAAAAGATTAAATTATACCATGAAGCTACATTAATAACAAAGAAATTTCATAAAGTTGGCCAATTTAGTATATTTTAGTTTAGCCATCAATTCACGACGAGGTTTTCCATGGCCCAACCTTGCAAGGCTATAAATAAAAACATAACTAAAAGTAGTCCTGTACAACTCGGTACTGATGATTAATATTATAAAAAATAAAAGATAAGATACAATTATTTTTTAGTAAAGAAAGAACACTTTTTATGAACCAAGGAGATTGCCAAATTTCGAGGCATGATGTCCTCCCCACAAATAAGTATAAAGTATGTTATTGTAACTAATGGGATCGGGTGGGTTTAGGGATAATTTAGGAAATTCACAAAAAGAGAATACATTTGCTAAAATCATGATAATTAATTTTAAATGCAATTAAAATAAATGAATACTTTCCAAAAAAAATAGAATGAATGACATATTAACAATTATTGAATCTGAAACAAGTGATAAACTTTTTTCATTAAAACTAATCACATTATATATGATGTTTTTGAAGAAGAAGTGCATTAATAGCGAAACTCACCGGTGGTTCAATTTATTGATAAGGTACCTAACTTTAGCTAGTTTCAGTGACTAATTAGTATCTTGTGGGGAAATGAGGGAATGGTTATGATCAAACCAGTAGGGAATAACTTATTCTTGTCACAATTTTCTTTTAAGCTAAATCATGATAGAGTATTAGAAAAAGGGCATTGGCATATTCAAAACAAGTCTATTATAATTCAAAAATGGGAACCAGGGATAAAAAGTTTGGAGTTTTAGATGAACAGGTTACCTATTTGGATACATCTTAATAATGTACCATTGGAGTTATACGTAAATAAAAGACTAAGCTATATAGCGAATGTCATTGGTGTACCACAGTACATAGATAAAATTACAATAAATTATGAGAGGCTAGCTTATGCAAAGATTTGTGTGAAGATGAAGGTAAATATTGAGGTCCATCGATTTATAGATGTGATGCTAAAAAATATAACACTTGTTTCGGTATTGGTAGAGGTACCACGGATGCCTCCATGGTGGCAGTGCTACAATATATTTGGGTATTCAGATAAAGTTTGTGTGAATAAGCCAATGGGTATAAAAGCAAAAATGTAGTAAGCAAAGAAACAAAATAATGAGCTAAAGAAAGAATTGAGAAAAGAAAAAAAAGAGGTGGTTGTATTGGAAAATGCCAAAATTAAGGCAAAACAAGTTGTGCATTTTGTTTTAGCAAGCAGATTTGCTCTATTGAAAAAATTATTGAGAATGATAAAATAAATAATGATGCTCAAGTGGACCCGACGAAGGCAAAATCTCAAGAGACAAAAGAGGTAGAGTTAGTTATTAACCAATTAAGAAAGTGAAGGCAGCATCAGTTGTAGTTGCAAACTTAATGAAGTAGTTGAAGAATAAAAAAATAGGATATATTTATAAGGGAAAAACAAAGTAAAGGTAGATCTATCTACCTTAAAATGTATATCTTTTTTTTTCTTTTCCTTATGAACATTTTTAGTTGGAATGTCAAAGGGCTTAATGTTATTCTGAAGTAAAAATAGGTTGTAGGCAGGATTAGGCGAGCTCAAGTTGATGTAGCCTGCTTGTTAGAAAAATAGGATAAAGTAACAGAATATGCTGTAAGTCTTAAACATTCATTTTCCTAGTTGTTTTATGCAATAATTACTCTACAGCTTATAATAGTCGAATATGACTACTATGAAAGTCTGAATTACATGTGAAATTAGTCATAGACAGTGATCAAAGTATCACCTGTAAAATCGTGTATAGGACGCAAGTGATATATTTTACTGTCATTTATATATACAACAGTAAGAAAGAATGAAAAAGATATGGACATATTTAATCTCACTCCAAAGTGTAATTGATAGCAGCCCATGGATATTAACAGGAGATTTCAATGTGATAACCCATCCTATGAAAAATTCATACTACAATGGCTTCCAGATAGCAAGCTCAAGTACTAAAGAATTACAAGAATGTATTCAAAAGCTAGCTGTATTGGATCACTTGTACATGGAGCTATTATTCACATGGAGTAACCATACACTATCTATGAAGTTGGACAGAATTTTAATTAATGATGCATGGCCAAACTTGATAGTTGAATTCCTTTCACCTGAAGTTTTAGACCATTGCCCAGTTTTGATTAAGTTGAACGTCCCAAGGTAGTCTCCACCAAAGCCATCAAGTTCTGTAATTTTTGGATAAGGCATCCAAATTTTTTGAAGATAGTAGAAAAGTCATGAAAAGTGCAAACCATTGGGAAACCTATGGCTCTATTGCATAAAAAGTTAAAAAGATTAAAGGTAGAGCTAAAAAGATCAATTTTATACAATTTGGTGACTTGACAGAAAAAGCTAAAAAAAAAAATAGAGAAACTGACAGAGGCACAGATTGTACCACTAATGCAACCATCAAGTGTTGATGTTGAAAAAGAGAAGAGACTTTTACTAGAGCTTTAAGAATTGCTAAAATATAAAGATAGCTTATGGAAACAAAAATCTAAGATCCAATGGATACAAAAAAAAAAAACCAAAACATAAGGTTCTTTTATAAAACTATGGGATCAAGAAAAAAAAAAGCACTATTAGGGTGTTATATGACAGTGAGGGTAAAATGTTGGACACATTCTCTCAAATTTCTACAGAGGTTATGAGGTTTTTCAAAAAACTATTAGGATCAGAGGATACTAAAGTTAAAAGCTGCTTGAAGAGGTTAATTACAAATATTTTTCAAGGTAACTTGATTAAAAAACAACAAGCAGTCTTATCCCAAGATATAATTGTAAAAGAGATAAAAAAATGCCATATTCTCCTAGCACAGTGATAAGGCACTAGGGCCAAATGGTTATAATGCATAATTCTTTAAATCAACTTAAAATATAGTAGGAAAAGATGTAACCGTAGCAATAATGTATTTTTTTTAACATTTAAGACTTGTTACTTACCTTTAACTCTACTATATTAGCATCAATACCTAAATGTCAAAGCCCAACTAGCATTTCAGATTACAAGCCAATTTCATGTTGTTCTATTATTTACAAAGGTATAACTCGAATACTAGTAAGCAGAATGCAAAGTACTTACCAAATCTTATTAACAAAAGCTAAAATGCTTTTATAAAAGGAAAAAACATTACAAAAAATGTGCTACTGGATCAAGAATTAGTGAAAGGGTACAATGAAACCATGTTTTCCCCAATGTGTGCCATAAAGGTAGATTTAAAGAAAGCTTTTGATTTTGTACACTAGGGATTTTTTGCTTACTATCCTTAAAGCAATGGGCTTTCCAAGAAGATTTATAGGTTGGATCAAAAGCTATCTCACTTCACCCATGTTTTTTTTTATCTATTAATAGAGGTTTGGTGAGATACTTTAAAAGTACAAAAAAAGTAAGAGAAGAAGATCCTATGTCACCAACTTGTTCGTGATAGTAATGAATATGTTATCAAGGTTACTAGACATTATGGGCTCATATGGTATATTTTCCTATCATTCAAAGTGTAAAAAGATACAATCGACACATTTGTGCTTCGTAGATGATTTACTAATATTCATAAAAGGGGAGTTAAATTTTGTTCTTAGCATCCAAAATGTTTTACAGCTATTTTACACATTTTTTGGACTTAAATTAAATTGTGCAAAAAGAAAGATATTTTGCTTGAGGATTAAAAGAGAAGAGCTAGAAAAAAATTTACAAGCAACAGGTTTTAAGTTGGGTTTTCTCCTTGTCAGATATTTAAGGGTGCCACTAATCACATGCAAGCTCGTCATGACAGATTACACTTCATTAATTGAAAAAATCACAGTTAAAATACATAACTAGGCAGCAAGGCATCTATCTTATACTAATAGAATGTAGCTGATTCGATTTGTAATATTTGGCCTACACAATTATTGGTGCAGACATTTTATATTGCCTAAGAAGGTCATTAGAAAGATCAATCAACTATGTTGTATTTTTTTCTAAAAAGGTCGAAAAGGTATAGCTAAGGGAGTAAGGGTAAAGTGACAAACAATGTGTAAGCCTAAGTTTGAAAGGGGTTTGGACTAAAAGATGTAAAAAGTTAGAACAAAGCTTGCATGCTCGGATTGCTATGGTTTATTTTCACACAAGCTGGCTCATTATGGATAGCATAGGTACAATGCTATGTTCTTAAAGGAAAGAGCATATGAAAGCTACAGATAGCACATGATCAAAGTCGGTGTATGAGAAAACTGTTGCAAATGAGAAGTATTACCACTAGATTTTTGTTGCAGATGAAGAATAGAGTGATATGCAAACCAAAGTGTCAAGTTATTCAATTGCTAAGGTGTGGAATGAAATAAGATAAAGGCAGTCAAAAGTAAATTGGCACAGACTTGTTTAGTGTAAGCTACATATTCCTAAGTTTGCTATAACAACTTGGATAACCATTCTTAATAAACTCCCTACTAAGGATAGATTAATTATATAAGGAATTTTTGTAGATGAGATCTGTGTATTATGTAAACAAGAGAAAGAAAGTAGAGACCACATTTTTCTCAATTGCAGTTACTTGAAAAAGGCATGGAAGCAAGTACTGTCGTTATGTAACCTAAGACAATAAATAGCTTGATGGGAAAATGAGATTTAATGGGCTATGGCCAAGCTTAAAAAGAAGGCATTGGTTTCCATTATGCTTTA